AAGGCTTCATCTCATGAATTGTGAGATGATGACCTGAGCTGAAATCAAGAGTTGGCCGCTTAACCAGTTAAGTCACTCAGGTGCCCATAGAGTTTTGATTTCTTAAAATTCTTTAAAAGTTTAATTTATTTATTTTGAGAGAGAGAGAGAGAGAGAGAACATGAGCAGGGGAGGGACAGTGAGAGGGAGAGAAAGGATCCTAAGCAGACTCTGCATCATCAGTGCAGAGCCTGATGTAGGGCTTGAACTCACAAACCGTGAGATCATGACCTGAGCTGAAATCAAGAGTCAGACACTTAACCAACTGAGCCCTCCAGGCACCCCAGTGTTTTGATTTCTTAATGAAATATTTCCAAGAGGTTTTAAAGACCACAAATCTATTATTTTATAGAATGCTTCTCAACTTGGGTTTGTCAGATTTTTTTCATGCTTAGATTCAGGCTGTGAACTTTCAGCCAGAATCCCATACACATGAACTTGTGTCATCCCCAAAGCAACTAATACCCAAAGGTGCAAGATGTCCATCTGTACTTTTTTGGTGATATTAATCTTTACCACCGGGTCAAGATATTTTTTGATTTCTCTACTGTCTAGTTACTATTTTTCCCCTTATAACTAATAGCCAACCTGGGACAAGATACTTCCAAATGTCCTGCCCCTCTGCAGCCTCTCTCCCAGATTTAGCATCAGTAATGACTCTTGTTTCAAACTTTTTTTAAAGGTTTATTTGGGTTTTTGAGGGGGGGAGGGGGGGAGAGAGCTGGGGGAGAGAGAAGCATGGAGGGGCAGAGAGAGGGGGGAGAGAAAGAATCCCAAGCAGCCTCCATACTGTCAGTGCAGAGCCAACGTGGGGCTCTAACCCATGAACCATGAAACCATAACCTGAGCCACAACCAAGAATTGGCTGCCTAACCTACTGAGCCACCCAAGTGTCTCCCAAACTTTTCTTATGATGGTTTTTAAAATGATGATGTTTCCAATTCCACAACCCTTTTCTACATGTATCCTTTGTCATTTTTCTGTTTGCAAAGAACCTCCCCTCCTTTTCTACTGTTTACCTAAATCTATCTGTCTGTCTATCTATCTATCTATCATCTATCTATCTATCTATCTATCTATCTATCTATCTACCCATCCATCTAGCTAGCTAGCTATCATCTATCAATCACTAGCTGAATCAATAATGTACTTCAGATCTCAAATTTCTTGATGGCACTGAAATCCTTGTTTTCCTTTTGTTGCCATTTTATTTTTATATCTTTGCAAAGCCCTCTGTTATGGTCTTTCTGTATTGTTTTCCTTCAAGTGTGAATCATCCAAACCTATTTTTTGCAGAAGGGTTAGCATGATCCCTTTCCTTTGTTTACAGCAAAGTTCTGGAAAGGAGTGGCAGTATAAGACTCGACAAATAATTGTAATGAAACAAGACACTGATCATTCTACCCAACATGGCAGGAATAAAAACTCTTTCAGAGGGTCACTGTCCAACAAAGTATCAGGGGTGGCAGATGATAATCTCCTCGGTAATCTCCTCCCTAGTGCACAATGATAGCGTTCACTGCAGGTGGCCTCACTGAGCACTTTCAGCAAAGAATAAGATGACCTTGGCTAAATTATTTCTACTCATGCATGTGGCCCCCAGGCTGTAGGACTATCCAATAAATTGGGTGGTTATCTCATTTATCACAAGGTTATTTAATTAATGTGGGTAAAAATATTTTATATGTCTACAGATGAAAGATTCTGAAAAGCATTCAGTACTACTCTGTTTTTTCCTATTTCTTAAGTAAAAGCTTAATTAGTGACTTTGCAAAGGAAATGAGAAGTAATCAAGCACATAATGATTTTGAAGACCTAGCCTTTCTGCAGGAAAAATGCTTCCACCATAAGGTTTATTATGTTTCTCACATTATTCAGTTCCCAGAACAATGCATTTACTGCAAATGCCACATTCTGCTGTGATCTGCTGGAATGTATGTTGCCACTCAAAAACAGAAACTGCAAGCCCCAAAAAGCATAAGCCCTCACATTCAAATATTTTGTATCTTACATTCTATTTTTATAAAAAATATTTTTAATGTTTTAAAATGTTTAATTTTAACTAAATATTTTTTGATCAAGTCAAGAGTGTATCTGTGGGGCACCTGGGTGGCTCATTTGGCTGAGCGTCTGACTTCGGTTCAGGTCATGATCTCACGATTCATGAGTTTGAGCCCCACACTGGGCTCTGCTGAGAGCTCAGAGCCTGGAGCCTGCTTCCGATTCTGTGTCTCCCTCTCTCTCTGCCCCTCCCCTTCTTACATTCTGTCTGTCTCTCTCTCAAAGATAAACATTAAAATATTTTTTAAGGGTACGTGGGTGGTTCGGTCAGTTAAGCATCTGACTTTGCTCAGACCATGATCTCATGGTTCGTGGGTTTGAGCCCCGCATTGGGCTCTGTGCTGACAGCTCAGAGCCTGGAGCCTGCTTCAGATTCTGTGTCTCCCTTTCTTTCTGCCCCTCCCATGCTTATACTCTGTCTCTCTCAAAACTGAATAAACATTAAAAATATTTAAAAAATATATTTTTTCAGTGTATCTCAAATGGTAGCTACAGAAGCCTTCTCCTTGTCTTCTTCCCAGTTAATGTGTCTCTCTGACTCTCCTCTTTCCTCTTGAATTATGAGTTGACCAGGTGAAAACAGGGAGATGTGAAGAATAAAAACAGCCCCTCCCTTTCCCCCTTTTTCCAGAGTTCTAACATCATTACACTAATCCAAACAATGTTTTCAGTAAGTTGGAAAGAATCAAAATTGTGCATTGCTTTTGTAGTGAGTAGAAGCTACATATTACAGGGTGGAATTTAAAGTAAATTCTCCAAGTTTTCGTATATAACTACATCAGATCTTGTCGTGAGCTGTGTTCCTTGCTTGTTCAACTATATCTGCTGAGTGGCCACTGTGTGCCAGTCATGGAATTATACTTGGGATTGAGTGGTGAATAGAATAGACAATGATTCCTGCTTTGTGGAGCTAATACTCTAGAAGGAGGGGGATGGACAATAAACAATAAATATAACAATGAGATACACTACATGGTATCTCAGAAGATTAAAAGTACTCTGGAAAAAAACCACAACTGGGTAGAATAAGGAAGACCCAATGAAGAGGGACACAGTACACTCTTAAATCGAGTGGCCAGAGCAGGCCTCAGTCAGGAAATGATCTTTGAACAAAATGTTGAATTGAATGAGGGAGTCCATGTTCTAGGCAAAGCCCTAAGATGGGAGTCTGCCCTGTTGTGTTCACAGAGGACATGGAGTGTGTTTCTGTGTCCAAGGAAGTGTGTGACTGGAGCCAGAGTGGCAAGTGGGAGTTGGGAAGGAAATGAAGTCAGAGAAATAAAACAAGGAATCAGGCCCCAGTCAGGAATTTGCCTTTTACTTTGGCTAAAATGAGGAACCCCTGGCTTTGACTGTACCTCTGGAGAAAATGGAAAGCCATTGGAGGATTTTGAGTAGAAGAGTGATATAATTTGACATCTAGTTTAAGAGGTTTAATCTGGCTACTGTGTTTAGAACAGACCCCTGGTGCCAACGGTGGATGCTGGAAGAGCAGTTAGGATGTTATCACAGCAATGGAGGTGAGAGCTGAGGGTGGCTCTCAGCAGGGAAGGAGCCGTAGGGCTGGTGTGCAGTCAGATACTGTATATATTCTGAAGATGGAACTGGAAGTTTTTCTAGTAGGTTGCATGTAGGTTTGAGGAAGGCAAGGAGTTAAGGATGACACAAAGGTTTTTGGCCTGGCCACTGGAAGTCTAGAGATGCCATCAGTTGAGATGATGAGTGGAGGAGGTTTGAGGGGAAGATCAGAAGCACAGAGTTGGACGTGTTCAACTTGACATAGCTATGAGGCATGCAAGCTGAGATGTCCAGTGGGCAGTGGAATCAAATAAATCTGAAATTCAGGAAGGAGGTTTGGAATGGAGATTTATAACTTTGGGAGGAATTAGCATATAGTACTTAATACCATTAAGCCAAATGACATGACCAAAGAAATTAAGTGTGGATACAGGAGAGAAAAAGACAGAAGACTGAGCCTCAAAGCACTCTAACATGAAGGTATTGGAGAAGAGGGAGAACTGACAAAAGAGAAACAGGAGAAATGACCATTCTCACATTCATCTGAAATTGGCTCCCTCAAGTTGAAGATGATAGGGAAAAAGTTAAGCGAGGAAGCTATTAGGGAACTTATACATAGGGCAGATTGCATTTAGACGGTACAAGGTATCCTCTTTTCTAAAAGAGTTGAGAAAGGACATGACTCTGAATAGGAAATTATCTTTTTAAGAATGTTTTACATTTAAAACTTGACTCATTTTCATATGTCAAATTGTACATATACAGACTGACTTAGAAAACACTACTGTGTAACCACCTAATGCAAAATGGAGTATTTTGTTTATAGAGTCATATGTATTCAATATATTTATATGTAGAACTTCTAGCAGATTCTCAGCAAATACCTGTCAAGTTATTAATGTGTTACCTTTGTTCTTTGTTGAGAATTTTCCTATTATGTTAAAAGAGTTTTCTTTGCATAAGGATGACACACAAAAACTTTATTCAATACTTATCCTTAAGACATACATAGCTATTAAGTCAGATGCCAGTTTGTTAAGACATGTCACTTACACTTTCTCTAGAATTATTTGTCAGAACTCTGGCTAGTAGACGCAGTGGGCATGAATTGTCTATCTCTCTTAACTCTGGCTGATTGGGAATTGTAGTCAATGAAACAGGCATTAAAGATATGAATACCTTCAGATGCGATGTAGATTTTATTACTTGGATCTAATTAATCTCCATTGAAAGCTAGAGCTTCAATCTATGTTAATTTAGAAACGCCCTACATTCTTGGAGATGATTGCAGTGAACGTCTTCAATGTTGCCTCTCTCCATGGCATCAAGCGTAACTAACAAAACTGACTCTTCCTTCAGAAGGAGTAAGCAGTTGTGCTTACCAGGATAGGAGGAGATGGCATTGATGTGGGTGGTCCTGATGACGCCCACCCGGGTCCCACGGTTGTTTTTCATGCACATGCAGATACATATGGCAATCCCAGCAATGACCCCCATGATGAATACGATTCCAAACACGATGCCAGCAATTGCTGTGCCCCTAAAAAAGAAAAAACAAAAGTATATTTAGTGAAAAGGCTCATAAGCCTTTCAAATACAGCTCCATGACTATAGACTAATGCTCCTTTACAAATCTTCTTAAGGATAATGTTAAAAAAAAAAAAAGGGATAATTCCCTGAATCAGTCAAGTAAATAGTCTTGTGTATTTCAATAGATAAGAAAACGTTATAAGCCTTCAGGGAATCGTTTTCCAGTACAGTAAACCTATCATTCAGATTCTGATGTTAGAAATCCATATATTTATACAAAACACAATTTTCCAGATATGCTCTCTAAAATAATAATTAAAAAACCATTCTGCTGTGTACTTACGCAGCAAAGAATTTACCTGTTGTCTGAGTACACATTTACTGAAAACAACTTTATAAATGCCAAAATAGTAAAGAAATTTTAATGTTTATCCTTATTAAAACTCTTCACAAAGTAAAACTAGATTTTTTTTCTCAACAAAACAGAGAAAACCAAACCAAACATTTTTTTTTAAAATTTATTTATTTATTTTTGAGAGACTGTGAAAAAAAGCATGAGCCGGGGAGGGGCAGAGAGAAAGAGGGAGACACAGAATCTGAAGCAGGCTCCAGGGTCTGAGCTGTCAGCACAGGGCCAGATGCGGGGCTCAAACCCACAAACCATGAGATCATGACCTGAGCTGAAGTAAGACACTCAACATACTGAGCCAACCAGGTGCCCCCAAACCAAACATATAAAAAAATTTTTCAGAACACAGTTACAACAAACAGTATTCTCATGAAATTCAGGAACAATGCAAGCAAAATCTCTATCTCTATTCTATTAGCATTATGTTTTTCTCCAGAAGAGTTTTATCTCTCACAACAAAATCATAGGAGGAAAAAATATTGCATGAGAGTCACCATTACCATTATGTGTAGATAATATGACGTGTAAGAGTCTACATTTGTCCATATTTTGGAAAGTAATGGGGAAATCTATGTGAAATGATAAATTTTCAACAGGCAGAATAATTTCTAGCAATGCTTTTTGAGGAAATGCAGCATATATGGGCACAAATAATATAATAAGGCTGTTTATCCATATGTTGTTGCTAATACCAAAATATCAGAAAAACTCTAATATCCGTAACAAGAAAATGACAGAAAGAAAAACATATGATACACCAGAAAGTGAATCCAATATAGTGATTTAAAAAAGGTGAAGAGGTCCACATAGGTTGGGGTGAAATGTGCATGGTACATGCTTAACGCCATACTACAAATGTAAAGGCATATGTTAACAGAATACCAGTATTAACAGAATGATTGCAAGGAGAATAAATATTTTTATATTTCAAATTTTTGAATGTATACATAATGATTTATTTTATAGATATGGGATGGGGCCCTGGGATTTAAGAGTCCATCCATTTAAGAGTCAGCCATTTAAGAGTCCAGATCTTGGTTTTTGGGTCAGGTCATGACCTCACAATTTCCTGAGTTCGAGGCCCACTCCACTGACAGCATGGAGCCCAATTGGGATTCTCTCTCTCCTCTCTCTCTCTGCACTGTTTCTCTCTCTCAAAATAAATAAATAAACTTAAAAAAATAAAACCAGTTTATAGATATGGGACAATAATGAAAAATTTCACTTTCTAATTTGGGTAACTTCCCAGAAGTGACCATTTCAACTCTTTCAATCATTGTTTTAGTACCTTCCTTTCTATTTCTCATTAATGCAGTTACATTCCTTTATTTTTTTAATGTTTATTCATTTGAGAGAAAGGAGGAGAGAGAGACAACATGCACAAGTGGGGAAGAGGCAGAGAAAGAGACAGAGAGAGAGGGAAAGATAATCCCAAGTAGGCTTCAACATGTCAGTTACAGAGCCAGATGCGGGGTTTGAACCCATGAACTGTGAGATCATGACCTAGGCGGAAATCAATAGTCAGATGCTCAACCAACATGAGCCACTCAGGTGCCCCTTTATTTTTATGTATTATCTATTGGCTCCTCTTGTAAGTATTTGGAAATTTTGATCCCACAGACTTTATCCTTTGTTAAATCAGTCATCATTATTGATATTCGCATGACATTGCTTACTGCTAAGTTAAGCAAGGTACCATGGGTACCTTTCATCTCTCTTACACTTACTTTGTTTATGGAATTTCCAAGAGTTTCCATCTTTCCATATGCATGTTGTTATTCACCCCCCATCCCCAAATTCCTAAGAAAAATTTCAAACAATGATCAGAAGTTCTCATTTTCTTTGGACTAGTATTCTGAAATTGTATAATGTGCTTCAATATTTTTTTTGAATTACTTTTCCAGTCCCTTAGAATTTTTCATGTCTGGAGACTCATTCTTCGGTTCTTAAAATTATTCCATAAACGGATAATCCTTTCCACCATTTTATCTGTTTCTCTTTCTAGAAGCTTTCTCTGAAATAACTTCCAGGATAACTTCTCCAGGTTTTCTGATCTCTGTGTTCTTGAACTACTTTCTGGGGAATTTCATTGCCTTTACCATCCAAAGCTTTATCAAACTTTTCACTTTCAGCTATCATATTTTTAATTTCTGGGTGCTCTATCTTATCTTCCATTGTACCCACCCCCTTATTGTATAGTGTCCTGTTTTCCTTTCATGGATATAGTTTCTTCTCTCTCTCTCTCTTTTTTTTGAATGCTTTTTTTATTTCTAGGAGAGAGAGAGAGAGAAACAGCGTGAGCAGGGGAGGGTCAGAGAGAGAGAGAGTCATAGACTGAAACAGGCTCCAGGCTCTGAGCCGGCAGTCAGCACAGAGCCCGACGCGGGGCTCGAACCCACAAACCGCGAGATCGTGACCTAAGCGAAAGTCGGACGCTTAACAGACTAAGCCACCCAGGCGCCCCTATAGTTTCTTCTCTTCATCTCTGAAGGTACAAATAGTCAGCTGCTCACTCGATTCGAGCCACCCAGGCGCCCCTTTATTTTTATGTGTTATCTATTGGCTCCTCTTATAAGTATGATGTATAATGATGCATAATTTTTTGAATCATTCTCTACTCTTTGTATTTCTTCTGTCCTGTGTAAGTTCCTTTTTATTGATTATTTTGATCTGTTTCCTTAAATGTCCGGTGATCCTGAATCTTCTGCTCTTTAAAAAAGAGGCCCTGACTATCTGCTTGGAAGTTCACTGTGGAAGGCTCCCATTGCACAGGTGAAGAAATCCACAGTGTAAGAGTACCCATAGCTTTTTCTTTCGGCCCAATAAGCAGAATCCTCCAATTTCATGTAGGAGCCAGCCTGGCACTTTCCTGGAGCCTAGGGTTTTACCTATAAGGGTATGAACTCCCACAAATCCTGGTGCTTCTTGCTCCGAGATTGAATCCCCCTCTGCTGCGACAGTGGAGCCATTCAGAACAAGACCTTCCATAACAACATTTTTGTGGTTTCAAAGCATGATTGCTAAAGCCAGACTGTCTGGGTTCCAGCTGTAGCTGGGTAACCTTGGGCAAGTTGCTGAATGCCCTCCACCCACCAAGTTTTCTTATTAATTAAATGAAGGTCAGCTTGATGATTATCTGACTCTCCTCTGAAATTTCATATCCTGAAATATCTGTACTCCTGGACTCATTTGTCAAATAAGGAATTTCTTATTTTCATGCCATATAAATATCTGTCCTATACTTTTATTTATTCATTTAGTTAGTTTTTGAGAGAGAGAGCATGTGCATGATGAGCAGAGGAGGGGCAGAGGAGGAGGAAGAGACAGAATCTTAAGAAATCTCCACACCCAGTGTGGAGCCCCATGTAGGGCTCGATGGTACAGACTGTAAGATCATGACCTAAGCCAAAATCAAGAGTGGGCGATGTTTAACTGACTGGGCCATGCAGGCACCCCTCTATCCTATACTCTTCTAAGGCATGTCTGTGATTCTCTTCTCAGATGAGACATCTTGAGGCCAGATATTCTTCATAAACGAGAAATTTTAAGATTTTTGGAAAGAGACTATCATACATATACCATAGGATACTTCTTCCAGGGCCACCATCCTGAGCACATACACATTTACATTTCTTTAAAAAAAAATTTTAAGATGTTTTATTTATTTTTGAGAGAGACAGAGGGAGACACAGAATCCAAAGCAGGCTGCAGGCTCTGAACTGTCAGCACAGAGCCTGATGTGGGGTTTGAACCTACAAACTGTGAGATCATGACCTGAGCCTAAGTCAGATGCTTAACTGACAGAGCCACCCAGGCACCCCCACATTTATATTTCTGCAATAAAGATGGGAATAGTTTTTAAGTTTGCTTATTTATTTTGGGGGAGGGAGAGGGAGAGAATGAGAGAGAGGGAAAGAGAAACCCATGCAGGCTCTGAGATGTCAGCGCAGAGCTCAACAAACTGTGAGCTCATGACCTAAGCTGAAATAGAGTCCAACGCTTAACTAACTGAGTCACCCAGGGGCCCCTGTGGGGTGAGGATATTAACACTCATGGATGACATAGAGACCACACAAAAAGACCCAGGTTCCTTCATGTCCAGTGCTCCAGTCTTGCCACCAACCCAGTTATATAAAACCTTGCACTTTCCAGAGTTGTTGGGTTTTTTTTTTTTTTGGTTGTTGTTTTGTTTTAAGGATTTCAAAATTGCAAATCAAGAATTGTAAATACGTATTTGTACTTTTCAGAAGAGATTTTCTTTTTATGACTTTTCTCACTCTTAAAAAAACAGAATGCCACTAATAATTCCAAGTGAGTCCAAAAGACTCCTTTAAAATACTCCTACATGTTGAGCCACCTGTGTTGCTCAGTCAGTTAAGCCTCTGACACTGGATTTCAGCTCAGGTCATGATCTCCTGGTTTGTGGGACTGAGCCCCGATTGGGGGTCCACATTAGCAGTGTAGAGCTTGCGTGGGATTCTTTCTTCTTTCTCTCTGCCCTTCCCCTGCTCATGTACACACTCTCTCTCCCTCTCAAAATAAGTAAATAAGCATTAAAAAGAACAAAATATTGCTACATGCTTTTTAACTTTGTTAGTAAA